TCTAGAGGCCCATGTAAGGCATCTAGCTAGAGCTCACTCAGATCACCACCCTATTATGCTAGAATTAGACAAGGAAAAACTTGCAAGGAGGAAGAATGTGTTTAGGATGGAAATGGCCTAGCTAACGCATGGGGGATTTTGGGATGAGGTTAGGAAAGCTTGGAATGGGGCAAAACAATTTCAAGGGACAGTTTTCAATGTTTAGGAGAATATTCAAACATGGAATAGGGGAGTTTTTTGGTAATATAATCAAAAGGAAAAGAAGGTGTATTGCCCGATTGAAAGGAGTACAGAGAGAGTTGGCGTAAGGATATAGTAGAGCCATAGAGAAATTGGAGAACAAATTGATAAGAGTATAATCTCATATTGGAGCAAGAGGAGTTATTCTGGTATCAAAAAGCCAGGACTAATTGGACTTTGTATGGGGAGAGAAACACAAAATATTTTCATACCACAGCAATTGTTAGAAGGAGAAAGAATACAGTAGCATGTCTAAAAGATGAGTTTGGAAAGTAGCAGGCAGATAGTGAGACTCTAAAACAAATGGTGGTTCAATTCTGTACTACTTTATACACAGGAGAAGGAGTTAAAAGAAAGGCAAATCCATGCACTCAGCAATTCCCAAGAATAGACAAGAAAAGGATGGAGCTAGTGGGAACAAAGGTGGGTCCTGATGAAGTGAAAGAGGCAGTGTTCAGTATGGGGAAGTCAAAGGCGCCGGGGCCAGACGGTATAAATGTGTTTTTCTCCCAGAAAGGTTGGGGGATAGTGGGAAAGTCAGTGGTTAGGTTCGTGAAGCAAGTGCTTATGGAAAGAAGAGTACCTGAGGGCATTAATGGTACACTTATAACACTAAAACCTAAAGTGAAGTCTCCGGAAAAAATTTATCAGTTTAGGCCTATTTCTTTGTGTAATGTAACATACAAATTCATAACAAAAGTGCTTGTTTAGATAATAAGACAACTTATAGGGAAGCTAATAGGTCCAGCGTAAGGGAGCTTTATACCTGACAGGCAAACTGGAGACAACATCACTATAGTGTAGGAGATCCTCTACACAACAAGAAGACTAAGAGGACGAAAGGGAATAATGGTGGTAAAAGTGGATCTTGAGAAGGCGTACGATCGAATTAAATGGGATTTTCTGGAAGATACTTTGTAGAGGGCAGGGCCTCCCCCAAATATCATCCATCTGATAATGAGCTGTGTGAGAGTGCCCAAAATCGAGGTGCTATAGAATGGGAAAAGGACAAAGGCCATCCAACCTACTCAGGGTCTGAGGCAAGGGGATCCATTATCCCCATATTTGTTTGTATTATGCATGGAAAGGCTCTGTCATTAGATTGAGGAGGCAATAGAGAAAGGGAGCTGGAAACCAGTCAAGGCATCAAGATCTGGACCTAAAATCTCCCATCTATTGTTTGCTGACGACTTATTATTATTTGTAGAAGCCTCAATAAAACAAGCAGTTGTGGTGGAAAGGATAATGAGGATCTTCTGTGAGATATCAGGCCAAAAAGTGAACGCCGCTAAATCGAAATTGTTCTGCTTTGAGAATGTACCAAGAAGTGAGGCGCGAAAGATTAGTTAGACCACAGGGGTGCCATGGACCAAGAATCTAGGGAAGTACCTTGGAGTCCCAATCATTCATGGGAGAATTAAGAAGGATACATATTCTGAGCTATTGGACAATGTGCACGAGATCTAGAAATTGGTTGGATGGAAGAGTAAGTGTTTGTCATGTGCTGCAAGACTAGTGTTGGCTAATGTTGTACTAACTGCCATCCCAAATTATCTAATGCAAACAGCAGTAGTACCACTAGCGGTGGTGGAGGAAACAAAAAAAATGTGTAAGGAGATTCCTATGGGGAGACAATGAAGGAAAAAAGAAAATGCATCATGTTGGATAGGGAACGGTGACGAAATGGAAAAGGGATGGTGGTCTAGGTATAAGGAGTCTGGAGAAGATGAACAGAGCTTTGCTGGAGAAATTGAACTGGAGGTATCGGACCAATCTAGAGGAACTTTGGAGTAGAGTACTCAAGAGTAAGTACCAATTGGGCCAGGAGGAAGTCAACATTCAGATGGCATACAAGCAGGGTGCATCAAGGATCTGGAAGGACCAGTGTATGGGAAATGAAGTTATAAGTAAAAGGATAAAATGGAGAATTGGAAATGGGGAGAGTATTAAGTTCTGGGAGGACAAATGGTTAGAAGATGTCAGTCTAGTAGAAGTTGCATAGATATTGATACCTGAGGAGGAGAAAGAGAAGAAGGTAATAGATTACTGGGTAGATGATGAAGGATGGAATTTAGGGAAGTTAAGACAAATACTGCCTGAGGAATACTTGAAGAAACTAAATCCCCTTTGTATAGTTCCAGGAAACAACCGGATATAATGTCTTGGAGTCTAGATAATAGAGGGTGTTTTACAACTTCATCAGCCTACAGTCTAGTACGCCATACGGAAGAATAGGAGCACCAAGAGGATAAAGGGTGGACAAATGTTTGGAAACAGAAGGGGCTAGGTCGTTGGCAGTTTCTACTTTGGTTAGCAAGGCATGGAAGATTACTTACTAATGAAGAGAAATGGAGAAGACATCTTCATCGTGATGGCGCATGTCCAATATGCTAGAATCAGAAAGAGGACATCTTGCATGCATTGCAAGACTGTCAATGGGTCCAAAATTCATGGAGAAGTATAGTAGATGAGGACAAATAGGAAACTTTTGTATCTCTGCCATTGGTAAAATGGATAGATTGGAACCTCAAGTCCAAAACTGTGGGAAGAAGGGAAGATATTTGCTAGCAAGTTGCATTTTAACATATAGTGTATTATGCCTGGTCAGCGAGGAATAAAGTCAATGCAGAAGGAGATTACCAACAACTTGAATGCCATGGAATAAGCTAATGAACATGATCAAGGAGGAACAAGAGGTACTCAAGATAGGGAGAAACAGGAACTCATTTGAATAGAGAGGAATATGTTGGGAGAAACCAATGACAGGATGGATAAAGGTGAATATTGATGGTGCATCCACCGGTCGATCTGGAGTTGCAGGAGCAGGAGATGTCATTAGGGATGAAACGGGGGTGTGGAAGCAGGGCTTTTGCATCAACTTGGGAATTGCAAGCAACATAATTGCTGAGTTATGAGGCATTGTCTGAGGGATGGAATTGGCCTGGGAAGAACGGATAAGCTGTGTGCACGTGGAAACTGACTCCCTTACAAGTGTGATGCTAGTTAAAGAGGACTGCAAAAAAGGGCTACATTCAAACTTAGTCAGGAAAATTATAGAGTTATTGAATAGAAGTTGGGAGTGTAAACTGACACACACATGAAGAGAAGGAACTAGAGTTGCAGATTATCTGGCCAAGTGCAGTCTTGAGGGGGAGATGAGGTTTACAATTTTGCAGGACCCACCTGATGGGGTTAGGAATATTTTGGCAAAGGACATTGTCGAGGTAGTTACCCTGAGACTTGTCCTAAGCTAATGGGCTGCCAGCCCTCCATTGTACGGAAAACAGAAAAGAAAAGAAAAGAAATCTCTATTGAGAAGAGGATGGTTAACAACAAAATTGTTTTCTTGTTTCATAACAAAAAAAAAAAGAAAAAAAGAAATACAGTTATGAGCTTCAAACTGCTGCAAATTCTCTTGCAAACCCTTCAAAAAAGGCATTACTCTTTTTTTTTTTGGTTACAAGAATGAATGCGTAAGGATTATTTCGTATAGATTTTCAATCAATCCATTGAAAATATTAGTTGCTTAATGCTCAAATGATTGTAAGATATATTGAGTTGATTACTCAATCATCCATTGTGAATATGAGCTACTTAGTACTCGACTTGTTCGAAGATAAATCGGTTTAATTATAATTGAGTTTGAGTTCAAGTTCAAACAATAAAGTAAGGAGTGCAATACGAAGCATGAAGCCAACTGAACATTTATTGTTTGATAAACATGTATTCAAGTGCACTTATGCCCACTTGTACAACGTTTAAGAATTATTAAGAACACCTAATATTTAATTTCTAACAAAAAAAAAAGTGAACAAGATATATGCATGGACAGATTAAGCAATCAAAATTTTGCAAGCATAAAAGATTACATGTTACTTATATAGCATCCCGAAATAATTTTTGCAGATAAGAATGCATGAAAAGCAATCAAAACATGTAAATCTAATTGGAATCACAAGCAATATAAGTTGATCCAAACGTTCATGCTTGCAATCACTAGAGTATTTAAAACTTTTCATCAAGTCAGGGAAAGTTCAAAGTGAAAATTACACGAGGAAGTTTAAGCCGAACTTGAGCTTGATTACTTAATTTCAACTGTGATTAATTTAGTATTAGACAAATTTTGGCTCCAAGGACCCTGAAAAAAAAAATTCCTAGGTCTAGTTACTTCACAAAGAAACACACCTTGGAACAATTTTGCTTCTTGTCATTAAGGAAGAAAAGAAGAGAAATGGAAATTTGGGTTCTTCAAGATTGAAGACAGCAATGATAACTTGACGCATGATAGATTGAAGAAGAAGAAACATGACATTTGCTAAGAAACCTCGTTATCTTCCTAAACTCCAAGAAAAGATTTTACTATAATACCAAACCACAGCTTTTTTTTCCCTTCTTTTTTCTCTTCCAAACTACCAAACTAGGCGTTGATTTCAACTGCAATGTTTCACCCCAAGTGATAGACATAGAAATAAAATATTAAGATTGCTAAACTGTAAGAAACTCGTAACAGTACTGAGTACTCAGTTTGGTTATGGCCACAAGCGAATTTACACAATATCAACCTTGGGGATAACAGAGCCAACATCCTCCTTTTCCTCTCCTCTTACTGTAGAAAACAACACTGCATTTACTCATTTCAAACCTTTTTTATTGTAGGCCCTGCCCCGCAGCGCCCGGGAAGGGGGGGAGGGGGGGTTGTTGTGTGTGTGTGTGTAGTTTGAACTGCAGTTACCATTAAAGTTGGAATACAGATGCAGGGATAGAGGGGGCACTGAGCCATTCTGAATCCAGAATGCTTGTCAAACTGAACATTAAAGAAAGAATGTGCTAGTATTCCTCAAGTATCATGCAAGTGACAAATAAAGGTTTTATCTTGCATACATTGATGTATCAATCACTTGACAAGCCAGAGAGATGGGGAAAAGAACTTTTAGAACTATTGCTTCTTGACAGGTCTACTAGCCCCTACGAGAGGAGACAGCACAAAATTGAAATGTCTCGACATCAAATAGTGTTTGCTTCACTAAGTTTTTGAGCAGCCAACATCTTTGTCAAAAAGGCCCTCAAGCTGGCAGCTCTAGTTTTACATTATTCTTCCAACTGCAGCAATTCAAAAGAAAGAGTCAAGTTATTTTCCCTGTCAAACATCAAACAAGCTTACAGGTAAATGCCTCAGCTGGAATTTCACCTTTGGAAGTAATAATAGAAGAAATCAGCGTAAAGTGCAGTCTGAACAAGCCCTGCTACCCAAGCTGCCAGGAATAAACCATCAGAAAAGTGTTAGCTTTTCATAAACAGAGAAACATAAAAACCCTACTGAAATGCAATCAAGCAAGCTATGGTTAGAGCTTGTGCTTGGACATGTTATGACAAACACAGGAAAAGAGCGAGGGAGAGAAAGAGAGACATACTTATCCAGTGGACATAGTGTGGCTCAGTGAAATAGCGGTAAATCCAGTTCAGAATGTATAAGCTTCGATAAGCTCTGAAACAGAAGAAGACCATAAGCTAGGTTTTAACCTGAACTTCAACAAGAAGATAAAATTCAAGACAACAAGTAAAATAAGAGATCAGAAAGCCTCTCACAAGGAAAAAAAGAAAGAAAAAAAAAAACTCAACTTCATTTCTGTATGGCCATTTGTATAATTGCAATGCACATAAAAAGTCAGAAGCACTAGTAGTTTGACAAACATTTAGATGTATGTACTTCATTTAAGTGAAGATCATCTACACATGAATTTCTCAACAAATTTAGAGCCCCAAAAAAAATTGTGTCTTAGCAAGACCAATAGCAGCTAATCCGCTCAACCTCAATGAAACAACTGACCAGCACAAGATACACCTAAAGATATAAAGAGACAATGACAATTTTCCAGATAAAACAATAGGTACAGCTTTAACTATCATAAATGGGAATTTGAGAATGCTATATTACCCAAGAAGAAAAACATATTGCCCAGTCAGGTTGTCAATATTTCTTGTCCTTTGCAACAAGACCAGCTGAGGAAGGATGGCAACAGCTTCCAAGAATATGGAAAAGGCCCACATTACCTGAGGTCACATATCAAGCAAAATTATATAGTGACATACAGTGAAAGCGGAAGACACACACATATATGTCTAGTTACCAAGAAGAAAACATCTTCACCGGATACAAGAATTCTAACATTATCACATGTTAATGGCAAAATGGAAGCACCAATACCTCCTTAAAGGTAAACTTTTCATGTATAACCAGAGCCAAAAGCAAACATGGTAGCACAAGGAAAAGATGGCGAAATGTGTCCTGATCCCTATCGTAAGATCTCCGGACAACCTTGTGATGCCTCATGTACCAGACAATTGAGAAAGAGCTTCCCAAGAATATTAACTTCATTATGGTATTGTATAGGGAGATATAGTCTGTAAATATGTCCAAGTAACGAGTAGCAAAGACAATAGCATAGAGCTCTTGGGTCTTCAAAGAAATGCCTGCACATTTTGTAGGATGGCAACAATCAGCAAATATATGATAAGGGAACCAGAAGAAGCATGATAATAACAAACTGCAGCATAAAATGCAGAGTTGCAAATGCCTTGTGGAATGTAGCAGGCATGTAGATCCAGTTCCAAATTCCAACAAGACATGTTCCATGCAACGGGCTTAAATTGACTTTTCGACACAACGATACTTTCCTTGTGTAAAAAAAAGAACACATGCATATCTTGGTTCATGGAAAAATTAAAGTTTTGACTTTACTGTCAACTTAAAGAGCGAAAAATTCATCTGAAGCAATAATGGAATTCTTGATAGTCTCAGGTATCTCACGTTTACCTCTCTAAACAATAATGGATTCATGAGAAGTACATTTGTCCTAACCACATAGTAAATTCCTTCTGCACACAGTTTATCTTTTGCTTCTTGGCATGATTGGACCTCTCTGACAACAGAGAACAAAAATCAATATTCCATATCACACTCCAATTAAATTCTAACTCATATATAGTACATCCGAACTGATCTCATCTCTGGCATGCAATGTTTCCTTAAAATCTACCTAACTTTTTAGAATACCAAAGGAAGAAGAGAACGAAAAACTGGAAATGAGGGAATAAAGAGATAGCAGTCACTGTATCCAATTCACAGCTTTCAAAGGATCGAAACTTGCTTTATACTGTACAGTACATATCTTTCTGATAAAATGTAGACATTACTCTAGGTAACAATTTACAACATATTTTTTTGTCATTCTACCAACTCTTTTCTGTGGCATTTTACCAGCTCTTTAACACTATGTCTATGAAACGCATTGTAAAGAATGATAAACTTAACTATCAAGCAAAGTAATCCTCTTGTGCATTACAAAAACAACAATTGTGCTTGTTTTTAGTTCCTCAAAAGCCACTTTCTTTCCAGGCCCTATTTGAGGCAGCTAAGTGAAGGCCAAGCAGAAAATGGAACCTCATGACTTATACATTTCAGAAGGGACGCATTCCTGAACAAGCATATAATCCAAAAGGCAAAATTGAATTCAGGAGATAGAAAAATAGTGATATGAGAACTGAAGTAAAAAAAGGATTCTATGATTGGCAAATAATTGATGTAAAATGAAAAATAGGAAAACAAAAGCTAGAAAATAACTACATCCCAAAAAGTAAGATGCACCAAAAAAATATGTAACTGAAAAGTTGAATGAAACATGTAAATTTTTAATCTTTCTTGACTTTTTTTCAATTTCTTTTTGTGGTCTTCCTTTGCATTGGTTAATTGGGACAAGTATGTCTACAGGTGTGTGTTGGAGGTTGGAGGAGCAATCAGAACTTTTGAAGGTCAACATAGCAACAACTGAACTCGCCCCAAAAAATGATTAACATGAACCCAACCTGCTTGCTATATGGATTAGCAACTAGTAAAAGTACTATCAAATCGTCTTAGACCTAAAAGAAATCATTTTTACATTTAAGACCTCGGTAACATGTCAAAGTGTCTTTATTAGCTGTTCATGAATTCCAAGAGTCCCCCAGATGAATTCAATCAGCACGTTATTGCAAATATCACCAGATAAACAATTATTAGCATTTTGCACCTATCGCAGCTATTTGTAGTTCCAATGTTATTTCCAATGCATTTTCATCTAAACTCCAAAAACAATACGTTATCCTACCTTTCTTAAAACCATACTTCCAGCTTAAACTCCGAAACCTTCTCAATACCCAACAAGAATACACTAACCACTACCAAGCACTGCACAAAATAACCTTAAAATCTGAGAAAGAAAGAAACAATCTTTACCCTCACTGACCTCAAATCACTTGATTACAAAAATCACAGCTTTTTTCATCCAAATCCAGCAAACTTCTTCGTGTTTAAGCTACCATCAACCACTATCTTCCCATTTAAACCAAACCCGCATAAAATATACCAAAACCCAGTTCCCAAGTTACCTCATTGCCTCAGAAATAGTTAAATCTTAACGTGAACAGCGATCTGCATATATTCATCTTTGCAATTCCCTGGCCAAATGGGTCATATCTCCCGCTAATCTGAATATATTCATCTTTGCAATTCCCTCTATTCCCAGTGGCTTCTGCAACCCTGTTCTTTAGAATTGGATCAAGCAGAAATGTGCTTTTACCAACCTTGAATCTAAAACCCAAGAAAGCGATCTGCAAAGTTGCTATCTTCTCTTAAAACAGAGAGATCTCTGTCCTAAGTCGAGAAAGAAAATCTTTTCTAGTTCTGGTTAATGGTGATTATGGCGTATCCCTATTTAAGTTGAAATTTTAATGTCTTATGTTTAACTCGTAAAAATACTTAGTTGTATTTCTTTTTCTAATTGACTGGTACACGAAATACTCTATTTGTATCTGCTCTCGTATCTATTCAAAATAAATAAATTATTTGTCTTCCCTAAATTGCTCCCAAGTTTGTCAAGTTTAGGATTTCGGAAGTTCTGCCCCAAAATTACAACTTATTAAAAGATGTATGGTTGTAAAGATTTCTCAAAATACCAATTTTCAATCCCTTTACTTCTCTAAATATTGGTAATATGTTTATGGCGAAGAAGTGGAGTCCTTAACAAAATGGTTGTCTAAGTAAGGTCACCATCTATTAAATTTGTTTTAACTAATGAGCTATCCATACTTTTTTGGCTAAAAGAAAAGATTAGAGACGCTAAATCCACACTCCTTCCTCATAGATGCATATTTTGTATAGGTTTTAATTTTAATGATGTAAGTCATAATTGCTGATTTTATAAATTATGAATGTACTGAAAGTTTTAAATTTAGAATGAAGAGATATGCATTTAATGCATTTTAAAAGGTTTTTGTATATCTTAGACATATATTTGATCCCTTATGTGAATATCAAAAAGTTATCAAACAGATCCCGAATGTAAATTTAAAAAGAAATCAAATATTTCTAACCTAACAAAAAATGATTATTTCTCCTTTTCACTTAAGGGAGACTCCAAATCTTATTCAGCATAAGAGCAAAAGGAGTGGCTAAAAGTCAAATAAAGAACCTCATGCTCAATTAGCAAATATTCTTACTAGCTGAATTGAGTGATAGAAATAACGATTAATTGATGAACGTTAAAGAACACAAAAGAAATGGGAGAAGTTTATAAAGATTGGAAGAGTAAAGCTAATTTTAGGAGACTCTAAAACATTGGGACTGTATTTGAAATTGAAATTTCTGCTTTGCTGCATCTTCTTTCCCTTAAAATGTTGTAATTTCCACGTGGGGTATGTATTTACGACCTATGAAGCTACTTTTGCGTGTCGTGTCCAATGGGATCACAATTCATTGCAAGACTAGTACTGCTTCATTTTCAGGCAAGAAATAAGAGGATTTGAACCAGCCGCCAAGCCTATTGATTCACCGGAAGCTCAAGGCTTAAGGACTATTATCTTTGTCTTTGGATTACTATTTGCAAAACTAACGCTGCATTTGATAAAATTTAAAATTTATTGAATTATTAGATTTTAAAATATTAATATTTGAATATATTTTGTATTAAGTGATAAGTGAATAATTTATTATTTATTTTTATAAGCAAGTTTTTATTGATAAAATTTAATGTCATTTAATTAATTTAAATGTTCTATTTTTAGTTATCAAATGCCTTTAAATATATGAAGATGTGAATCTATTAAATTTAAATATCAAATTAAGTTATCAAACAGGGCCCAAGAAACACAGGTGGATTAAAGAAGCATTCAGGCTTAACTATGTGACCTTTTTCTAATCTGCAAAATTCCTCTAACTTTTGCTAACTTTTTCTTCCCCCAAAGATCAATAGTGATTTCTGCGTGCCCTAACTCTTTTTAGGTTATACTAGAAGTTCTAAAGTTTAGACCAAATGATTGCAAGACAATTTTTTTATATTTGCAACTTTACTTTATATGACTGTCAAGCTGGAGTTAACAGTCCAATTGTTTTTATACACAGATGCTGCAGATTTTATTTTCACGGATAACTTTAGATAACTGACACAGCTTTGAACAAAAATCACGCATCTTGTGCAAAAAAATCTTTAATCTATTGAAATTTTATAAAATTGTATTAGCAGGATTCTATAACCTCAAAATGAACATCAAACAAGTTGTGTTTATTTTAACAGTTTGAGAGCTATATTAACTATATCTAACAACTCTTTACCTTTTTTTTATATATATTTCCCTCCTGATGTGACATCTATGTGCTGAAAATATTTTTTATAAATATTGGGATCGAATTTCTATAAGGATTTTTCTAACAGATGATGAGCACTTATTAATACTACTGTTAAAGGCATATCTAATGTGTGTGTAGTTTAGAAATAATTATTAATTTTTATGAGTATATTAATTTGTTTTTACAAAATTAAATTTTATATAAATTCTTCATGAAAGGTATTGTGATTTATTAGTGATTTTTCTTTAATACAGTTATAGTTAATTTAATAGTTACAATATTTAAGGGAGTTGTGAGGGATTATATTAGCAAATGTGATCAAGTGGTTAGAATAAAAATTAATTTTTTTAAGGACAAAATTAAAAGTTCAAAAAATGACATGGAGTATCTACCCATTATTGTATAGACATTTATATATTTAAATTTTATTTAATTTATCATGAATATATATACACACACACACATCTATTTTTCTATTTTCTATTTCTACCTTGTATATAAAAAGAAAGTCAAGTTACTGTAGCTAACCATTTTTTTGACACATGTATTGTATATATTTTTTACAAGTGGACCTTTGATTATTTTACCAGAATTTTTCCTTCCCTTTTTTTGACTCAATTGGGTTAAAGGATTAAAATATTTTTTCTCCTTGAGAAAATCAACTCCATCTCTTCTTTTTCTTCTTTCAGTAACTACTGTCATCCCTCACCTTTTTTATTTTTTATTTTTTATTTTTTTAAAACTAATCTAACTAAGATTGTTGCCATGTTCTTTTTTTTTTTTTTGTCAAGATGATAACTACTTAGCAAAAAGAATTCTTTATTATTTTTTATCCCATTTTACATTTTCTTTTCTTCCTTTTTTCTTCATCTCTAACCTCGCATGTTTGCTCTATTTTTTTTTATCATAATGTTATAGCCAACTAGCATTTGTTTGTTAAATTTATAGGATGATGTTTTATTTGGTAGTTCTTCATGGATAAAAGGTGAAATTTTAAAATATGTAAAAAAAAAATTTAGAATTCATTTTATACAAATGATCATTTTCTATGAATAATAGAACAAAAATTCATTCTTTTATTTTCTTCTCCTATGATTTGATTTCTTACTTCACATTTTGTTTCCTTTTCTTTGTTTTTTGGTTACATTTTGTAATTATCTACAATTTTGTGTATTTGTTTAGAAGAAAGATATATCATGTGATATTTTCACCAAGATAAATCTAGCTAGGCATTCTTGTACCTCCGTTTTTCGCCATTTCTTTCTTTTTGCAATTACTTTATGGTCTATTAAATTTAATTGAAGGATCCAATAAGATTTTGTATATATTTAAACTAAAGTTAATTTTTGTTTGTTTTTTAATTACTCAAGTGTTGTAGTATGAATTGGGTTGGTATACAAGGATTGCAGTCGGTGGTGGAAGTCACAATTGAGGCTTTCGGCCTAGAGTGTGACTTGACAAAAAATTGTTAGAAATTTCAATTTTGATTAGGAAGATGTTTTTGCAATAAAAAAAATAGTTCAATTCTAATTTGTATATGTAGACCAGGAAACATGGCAATTCATATTTTTATCTAACTTTGCTATTTATATTCAGGAGCTGCAGGATAATGTTGTCACCTTTAGCAGAATTTAAATAGATGAACTGGATTCTTCTATCAGAAGAAAGAAAAATATGAAAGTTTATAGTAAGTTATATTGATGTTAAAGATTGTGCTATGTTTTAGTAGTTTTTTAAACTTTTTCTCATTATTAAAGTACTAAAAGTATTACGACTGCTTTTGATTTAGTTTTAACTAAAACTATACTACTATTAATACACCAAAGCACTTATAGTGTATTAAGTTTCTCTCCTTTTTGGATATCATCATCATAGTGGTTCAAAAATCTTTATTCAAATCACAATAAATAGAGAGGTTGACTTCATAGATGGAATTTCTCTTCACAACAAATTTTGAGAGAAATTTTATTTATACTCCATATTGTGTTAATTGTGTTCCTACAATAAACAAAAACTATACGATAAAAATAATAACGAAAGTATGATTAACAAAAATGAGAGTTCAAATAATATTTGTCAAATTTAATTGCTTTAATGCTCAAAAATTTCTCCTATATTTCTATTCATTCATCATGTGTCAAAATAATTTGATGCTATGCATTCGACCGGCTGTGGGCATTTTGGTCATTTTACACAGCGCATAACTTTGATTGCACATAGCGTAACTTTGTTTGCACAACGTGTAACTTTAGTATAAAAATTTACGGGCCTCACACACGTTGTGAAAATTGATATACAACTTGTAATCTGGACCGCACATTTTTTTGGCCAAAATTTGGCCGTTGACTGTTCAGGTCCCTGCCCCTTATCCGCATTCGACTAAATTTCTAGGGGGCCCAAACTGTGCTTTGCACAGTTCAAATACCTCTAGTCTATTTTATAAGAAGAAAGTAGAGTTATTGTAGCAACCTCAATGAATGCCAAGTGGTTCCCCTTCATTTTGACACATTACACATTTTTCTTTTGAGGAAGCTATCTTCATTTTTTTCTTTTTCTTTTTTCTGTTTTTTTCTGTTCACCTTATTTCCTTTCTCCTTCCTGCTTAAAGACAACTAAAACATCCTCATCTACATTGTAGCTTCCTCATTTATTTTCCACTATGTACTCCCTTCTTTTTTTCTTTTTTTTTTTGCTTTTCATTCTAATCATTTACTCTACTTTTTTCCTCTATTGGATTAGTTAATGCATTTTCTTTCATTTTTATCCATAATGAACTAACTAAATGGTTTTGTTTCAGGAAGTCAAGGATGGTTTGATATTTTCTTTCTTGCTTAGTCTGCTAATCATGATTCATGATCTTCTACTCTTACCATCTTTCTCTGGTATGTAGTAATATTTTTTTTTTGTCATTTTTTTCCTCCTGATTAGAAACCTTTGCTTTTTTTTTTTTCTCGTCGCTTCCTCCTTCATCTAGCCTTTCCCCCCCCCCCTAAAATAGGTAAGTTGAAGTATGTATGTGATGCTGTGAATATTTTTCCCCCCTAAATCTAAGGAAACATTTTTTTTGCAGTTTTTATTTTATTTATTCTAAAATTACTTTT